ACAGGAGATAAAAATCATAGATTTCTAATCATGGGGCAATCACTAGGACAGTCTCTGGTTGTTTCCCTAGGACAATGCTGGCTCATCACATGGACACTGTTGCCTACACAGTTTATACATTCTAGAGATTATTCATTCCCCACCAGTTCAAATCCTAGGAATGAAAATGTTCATCGTATCCTCTGGGGAATGCTCAGTACTGTGCTAAATACTTGATATAATATTGCTTTTCATCCTCAGAGCAACCTTTAAAGTAGATTATTCAGATTTTACACATGAAATGGGCATAGAGCTTGCTCAACACCACACAGGTTGTTGGTGGCAAAAGCAGGCTTTGAAACCACATCTGTCTGCGCTCCAATTGTGCTCTCTGAAGCCCTGGAGGGCACAGTGGGAGGGTATCAGAGGGCAGGCACGGGAGTGCTCCTTCTCTCCTCTTTCTGTTTTACATGCTAGGTTTTCTGATTCAGATTCATTAAAAGGATCTGCTATTAGAAAAGAGCAGGGTGTTGAAAGGCACTTACAAAATTCAGCTCTACACATTGGACGTACAAAGTTTCCATGATACCATCTCCCCTTAGGAGAAGGGGAATCTATACGTGACATAGAATTTTGCAGGTTGTTAGATTCGTTGTTCTTTTTTTAATGTACATTTTTCCTGTAAACTGGTGAAGTGTGAAAATAGTCTTAGAATTTCTCAAATATTGGAGGAATTCTTATAGTTAAAACGACAGTAATTAGACACTTCCTTGTAAAACTTATTTTGATGTAGACTATGCATATTTAGAAACCTTAAGACAGGGGTGCCTAGGTGGCTTAGTTGGTTAAGTGTCCGACTCTTGATTTCGGCTCCCATGCATGATCCCACGAACAGGGAGATGGAGCCCCACGTTGGGCTCTGCACGGACAGTGTGGAGCCTGCCTGAGATCCCCTCTCTGGCCCTCCCTTATTCACACATGCGCTCTCTCAAAATAAATGAGTAAAGACTAAAAAGCAAGATAATTTTAACAGCAAAGCTCAATGGTTATTCTTTCAGTAGTTACAAATGTACTTTTCTTTTTTAAATGATCAGGGAGATGAAGAAGCTGATCTTGGTTTGCCCATCAGTCCCTTCATGGATCGTTCTTCACCTCAACTAGCAAAACTCCAAGAATCTTTCATCACCCACATAGTGGGGCCTCTGTGTAACTCCTACGATGCTGCCGGCTTGCTGCCGGGTGAGTGGATAGAAGCAGAAGAGGATGAAGATGCCGAAAGTTGTTATGATGAAGAAGATGGCGAAGAATTAGATACAGATGATGAAGAAATAGAAGACAACTTAAATCCTAGTAAGAATGGAGGGATATTATAAATTCTCAAATGGATATTTGCAGTTAATAACACTAAATTTGGATCTTTAAGATACAGATTCTGTAGTTCTGTCTGGAGTAACTAGTAGCTCAATGTTCAGATTGAATAGTCTCTTGAGTAACTCCTGGGTGCCGTGCTGATGCCACGACACACGGTCTTGGTTGAAGTAGCATCTCTCTGGGTATTGTCCTCCAGCCAGTTCGCTTCAGGAGGTTCTACCTGTGCAGCACAGTAGGACTGTCACCATATCTGACTGTGTGAGGTGAGTGGGCTCGAGGGGCCAGTCCTTGGACACCTGCTGCCTTTCTGGCTGTAAATGAAATCCATTATTTGCTCTTTAAAGTCGAATTTAAATGAAATTATATCCGGCATTCCAAGCATGCTATAGCTGAGAACAGAGAGCATAATTACGAAGAACCAGCCCCCCACATCCCCAGTTGTCTTCAGGATCAGTATAGTGAAGAGTGGTTTTCTGCCACCACCATGTGAGCATCATCTCGGGCAAATGACTGGCTTCCAAAAATTATTTCTACTCATTGAAGCTGTAATAATTGTGTTTAATTCAGTACCTGAGTCCTAAAAAAACATCGTTTAACTGCATTGTTTTATCACTTGAAATTTTAGTACTGTCCTCCCCTCTCACCCCACCCAGTCTTCCCTAATCCTTTTCTCTGCTTCATTTTCATCTGTTCATATTTAACCCCATCTTGTGTTTTGCTTCTTCATTTGCTTTTCTAGATCTTTCCATTAGAATATGAGCTCCACGGTGCAGAGATTATCTTACTGCATATTACTACAACCCCAGTGCCCTAGCTAGAGAAATGCCTGGAAAGTAATAGGCACTCAGGTATTTAGTGAATGAATGATTGAATTGTATTACTAGGATTAGAATCTGTCTGTTTTAAACTTCACAGAACCACGAAGGAGGAAAGGCAGACGGCGAATATTTTGTCAGCTAATGCACCACCTCACCGAAAACCACAAGATATGGAAGGAAATCATCGAGGAAGAAGAGAAATGTAAAGCTGATGGGAATAAACTGCAGGTGGAGAATTCTTCCTTACCTCAAGCAGATGACATTCAGGTCATTGAAGAAGCAGATGAAGAGGAGGAGAGACAGTTTGAATAAAAGAAAAGACATCTTGAAGAAGTCCCGAGGGCCATGCCCAGGGTCAGAAGTCCTCGCCTGGCACTGACCGTGCGGACTCGCAGCCGACCGCTCCCAGGTGGACGGGCCTGAGGACCGCGAGAGGACCCTCGCTGCGCTGGCAGCTCCCTGGTCCTGTGCACTTGCGGCACATGGACACAGACCGGACGAGTGTTCGTAGAACGGGGCTTCCGTCGCTCGTGTTGCGAAGCTCTTCCTCGATACCTCCACTGGTATCTACTTTGTCGTAATAACGCTTTGCCAGGTAGTAAGCTCTTACTTCCATGAGGGGTAGCTAGAACTAAAAATTCACGGGACCTCAGTTTCCAAGATGGCCAGAACTTTTCGCTTTCATGAAAACATTTTCCACATGTGTCTTTTAGGTCTTTGAATGTGTGTGTCGGGGGGGGAAGTCTGTGCCTGCCTAAAAAAGAACCCCGTGTTTGCCTTTCTGAGGGATCCGTTCAATGCAGTACACTGGCCAATGCCGTTCGCCCAGCTACGTTTATCCGTGAAAGACTGAAGGACGTTTGTCACACACGACAAAATCCAGGCGCATCAGTCTGATGCTTTTCACCGTCGTGTGTTACCTTCTACGTGTGTTCTATTTCTGCTCCGAGTATTCAGGTTTGCTGTGGACAGAAGTCTTAATTCCAGTCTCACGGACTTCATTCCGTGGTTGAATTTTTAAAGTTGTTCAGGTTTAAAAATGAAGGAATCGTTTAGTCAAAACTGCTCTTAGTACTCTTGCTCAGGATTAGTATTTTTCAATATTTAGTTAATATAAACAGACTTGTCAGAAGAAAAGAATGGTCCTAAAGATGTTAACTTTTTGTGAAGTGAGCATTTTCTCTCAGATCTCATAATTTGAGACTAATTAAAGTGGAGGAAAAGGAGAGGTCTTTTGCCTTACTGCAAAAATCAGACGAAGCTAATCCTATCGAAGATAAAGAACAAAAGCACTGGTAGGAGTTCTAAAAGGCACAGTGAATAATCAGAATATGTGCTTATCTCTAGATCCAGATCTTAGGTGTCCTGTTTAGTCACCGTAAAACTGATGCTGATCTTTGTTCATTTCCTCCTGTCTCAAGACTACATGACAGAAGTGACCTATGACTACTTAGTACTTCGAGAGCCCAACTGCAAGTCTAATTTTTAAGAAAGTAAATGGTGGGAAGCCTTAATTGCAAAGAAAATGGTTATTTACAATATTCATGAACTCCTCGGGTACAGATAGCAAGATGGTAGACTACTTTGTTTTTTTATTCTTGGAGACCATATTTTGGATCCATGTAGCTTTTGTAGATGGTAAAAACATTAATTTCCCAAGATGGTTTATTTACATATGATGTCAGGCAGTTTCTTACCTACCTGGAATATTTGGCGTATCTCAAAAATATTAAAGATCTATAGAAGTGTTGGAAGTTTTGATCTTGTATAATATTTAATGAATCACCGAGCTTTATTTATTAGACATGTTGAGTGCTCAGTTCCTTCCTGCCACTTTTGCTACCACTGCCACATGATTTGTAACCTGGTCGCACATTACTAAGTAAAAAAATTTTAACTAATTTATTGAGTTTGCACTTACAATGTATATATCCTGTGCTTTTATTTCTCTAGTGCACCTTTTGCATCTTAGGTATACTTCTGCTATTGCAAAGCCCATGTGTATAAAATCACATGTGCTTACATGCTTAATGAAACTCAGATTTCCTTTCTATTTTATTAAAATTTTGTATTGGGGTTAATGTATATATTTTCTCAAAAGGAATGTCTTATTAAAAATACTATTACTGAGAAATCCTTTTTAAATAACTTTTAAATTATTTAATCTTTGCTAAATAATTGACATGTTAAAATAGCCCAAAGAAACCTAAAACAAATTCATAAATTGTAAGAAATGAATGTGACTATATTAAGTACAGTGCTATGCTATTAAATGAAATCTTACTTGAAAAATTGCCACAAGCCATATTACATATCCTATTTTGGTTACTACTGAATCAGACTTTTAACTTTCATCATGAATTTACTATTGTTTTAAACTCACTGGTCTTAGAAATCTTGTAGTGCTGTAATATATTTATGTGCTTAGTGATACATTCTTTCTCCATAAAAAAAATTTTTTTAAGTTATTTCCTGATTTGAAGGCTGTTTCCTGCCATTCTTACTTTGTTGGTGCTGTTGACGTTTTCTGTTCTTATAAGAATCCTGTAAACTCTAGCACTGCTGAACTCAAAAATTTCTTCTCTCTAGATTGCATCTCATAGGAACAAACTTCACAAAAGAGATGAATAAAGCCAACTCTGGTTTCCTTATTATAGTTGCCAGACTAATCTGAACAGCTCTAGAGGGTGGGTGGGGATGGCGATTGGGCTGTGGAGCGGGGATGAACAGCTTCCCAGAGGAAAAAGTGATTTACCTTGGAGATAATTGCTTGTGGAAAGAAAACAACACTATGTGTAGAGGCCAAGACAAGAACTATCCTCACACTGGAGGGGGCCAAAGGAGGTTTAGAGTGACTGGAAGGGAATAGTAGAGAGAGAGTGACTAATGAAGGGCGTGGCAAAGCATGACAATGCCATTTAAGTATTTTTCCTTGAGGAACAACTAGAAAAGTTTTAATCTTGAAGAGGGACATGATTAGATTTACATTTTTTAAAAATAAAATTTATTTATTTTGAGAGATCGAGCAGGGGAAGGGCAGAGAGAAAGAGAGAGAAGCCTAAGCAGAATGTCCATACTGTCAGTGCCGAGCCCAATGCAAAGCTTGAACTCCCGCACCATGAGATCATGACCTGAGCTGAAGTCAAGCGTCAGATGCTTGAGCCCCTCAGGTGCCCCAAGATTTACATTTTTATGAAGATCAAATAACATACTATGTCAAATGGAAGAATAAGATTAGACATGGAGAGATCTCCCCAATCTGGACATGAAGAGATTACAGGACAACAGAGAGGTAAGTAGACTGGAGATTCAAGATGTAGAATCAGTTTGCTCGAGATTAATTGGATAGGATGGTAAGCAGACGACAGTGACTTTCATATTTCTGCTTTGGGCAGCTGTCCGTGTCATTTACTGGCACACACACACACACCCTATTGGTTCTCTTTCTCTGGAGAACTTTGATACAAGTCACCAAACACAAGGAAATGACCATGAGTGAGAATAGCAGAAATGAATAGATTTAGACTACCCAATGACTGCAGATGATGCATTGCGTGATCAAAACAGTATACGGGCTCCTGGGTGGCTCAGTCGGTTAAGTGTCTGACTTTGGCCTAGGTTATGACCTCCCGGTTCCCAAGTTCAAGCCCTGCGTCAGGCTCGGTGCTGACAGCTCAGAGCCTGGAGCCTGTTTCAGATTCTGTGTCTCACTCTTCGTCTCTGCCCCTCTCCCTCATGCTCTCTCTCAAAAATAAACATTAAAAAAAAAAACTTTAAAAATATATGAAATAACCATGCATGAAATGTTGGTTGAATGACAGAGAAAAATTGGTATTTCTCCAACCTTGATGGGAGATTTAACACCATAAGTTAAACAGACCAAAAGTTAATAAAAATATAGAACAGCACAATGGGCAGTATTAGACATATACAGAACATAAAACCCAACAGATAAGACAATTTTTAACATCCAAAGAACATTTATAAAAGTTGACCACATACTTGTCTATAAAGCAAGTCCCAATAAGTTTCAAAGCATAGGTACCCTACAGCCATGTTCTCTGACCACAAGACAATTAGTCTTCAATTATTTTATTTATTTTGTAGAGAG